CGCATTTGCGCTGCCAACTTGTCCATTACAAAAGTACTAACCGTATAAGTTTCGCGCATCATTTCTTTGAATAAGCCGAACAGTTTACGCATGGGAGCAAACTGCTCGCTCTTTACGAATGTATACGTAAACAAACACCCGTTCCCATGCCGTCCATTATCAAGAAGGTGTACAGCTTATGTCTACGTGGCGAATAATAGGTGCTTTAAAGAACTTATCCAAGGCAGTTTGTTTCTTGCGTTCCATCTACATTCACTACATCTGAAAATCGTCGGAACAATGGTATCTGCCGCCATCGGGAGGAGCATATGTGGCTATAGTGACCTTCCCCTGACTAACACACAAGCACGCGTCTGGTCTCCCGAGGTTTTGCCCGGACCGAGGGCATATCATCTGCCACATTAAAATCCCGCCATGCGGCACCTACTCAGCATGGCCGGTCGAACCTTCCGGCGGTAGTTGTATATATCCTGAGTGGTAAGAATCTTGCGGAATCCATCCGCCACAAACTGGCGCACTTCACATGAGGGCGTTCCATATTTCAGAAGAGCCCTGCGTGTGCCCAAATCGTCTTTGGTTAGGCGTCGATTAACTGGACGCCGGTCGTACGGAAACTTTGACAATTTGTGATTGTATTCAAGAGAATAAGAGGTGAATCGATTTCTCGGCTTTCCGTTGGTCTTGGAGGCAGACTGCTGCATTTATAGTACACCCATTCGTAAGGCAAAACAGCGTTGGTGCACCGATTACTGGATGAACGCACAAATAACACAAAGTTATCCTTCATGTATTGATTTAGGTCTTTCTCTAATGCCTGGAAGGATGAAAACGATACAGCCACAAGTTTCTCAACGAACGATCGTGAAGCCGCTTGCAAAGCCGCAGAACACGAACTTCTAAGCCGAATGCAAGCCAAAAATTTTCAAAAGAGACCGATTAAAACAAATCGCAAAAAGGTGACGGCTGATGAGTGTGGTTTTTGGACTGAACACATGCAAAGTGCAAGATTTTCACGTTGAAGATTTTATTCCACCCACAAGGGTCTTGCAGAAAAATGTATTGTGCTTCGAAGGCGCGGCGCCGAACCTAGTTCAAAGAAGCCATAAGCGAGCATTGGGACTGTTGCAAGGCAACGATACTCCAGAGAAAAGCTCACGCATCATGAGACGTCTTTCATATGCAGGCAACTATTTGAATCCCAACCCGCTGTTCACGCCCAATGAGAGATACGTCTTTCATGCTTCCTAATTAGACAGATTGGTTGGTTTATTCGAGAAGCGGTCTTACGGGGGTCCATAGGGTATTTGAAGGTACACGCGAGTGATACGAATGGAGGTGCTCCTAATAATCCGTGTAACGGAGCGTGTCTCTAGAGGCAAATTTTCTCTGTGCAGTGAAAAAAACATGTTCGAAGAGAGATACACCAATCACTTTGGTATCCAGTCAGGTAATTTCTTCTTCATTCTCACCATGCTGAGTCTCTCCTGAATGACGCATGCACGCACTGTTCGTCATTCAGAGGAAAGTGTTAGCCGATGACAGCAGCCCCTACATACATTTGTATGGTGTTGGCATTTGAGTCCCAAAAGTACCAGTGTCCGCAAAAAGTAAATATCGACTTGGAAGAACACCCGGACGACGTAGATCAGCAACAGAAGTGTTCGAAAAAGGAGCCTAGAGGAGCTACAGTAGAGATCTGCACAGAGGATAACGAGGTCGAGGCTGCTTTCAGTCCTCGTTGGGAACGCTTCAATCTGGTATAAAATGCGTTCTTCTATCCCACAAATCTTAAGTTCGTCGTGCAGCAGGGCATGTGAAACTCGATCGAATGCTTTTGAGAAGTCAAAAATGATAACATTCAATACAAGCCCCTTTATCCATAGCTTGGCTTAAGCCGAATATAGATTCGAGTATATGCGTCAAGCTAGAAAGGATTGAGAGGAACACCAGTTGCGCTGGGATCTTGGGTTGTTGCGCATTCGATAACATTACGTCCATTCAGAGATGTCGGATGTCCCCTTAAAGATGTGCATCAGAGTCAGGGAGAGTACAGTATCTAACCAAGGCAGCATCGCGACTGTTTTTGAAACAGAAAGGTGAGATTCTTTTGAGGAGAGAAAAACACAAATTGCTCACCAGCGGCAACACCACTTTGACTCCCGGCTACACAAGTTCGGACGCCCCGTTTGCATGTTGCTTACTCCACTTGATCTGTGCTTTGCACCCAAAGGGATCTCTATTCGGATCAGAAAATACCTGCGGCCTTACAATGACGTTGTTCTATATCAGCGGATTCCCTGAGCCAACCCTAAAAAATTCGCACTGCCCAAAGAATTGCACATCCCAGCCCAAATACCTCAAACATGACGTCCATCACAGAGTTGCTCAGAAACAGTAGTATGTCAGCGCACTGATGGCACAGCACCGTCATATCCAGTTTGGTAACACACCCACAAATAATCGTTCCGTACTTTTGACGATGCTTTCGCCCACTCGTGTCCTAACCTACAACTGCGAACAAACAGTTCACCTGGCGTAAGCCACTTCCGGAGCACATTCATTCCAAACAGCTAAAACTTCTGTTTCCGATAGAAACATTTCATAGACTTTTATTCTATGATCCACACAAAGTCTGTGATTTTCTGTGAAGTTAGCGTTTCGTCTTGTGCGTTACACCAAACCTCTTCTTCTAGGGGCTTTTGCTCCAGACTTCACTCAAGCAATGGAACTAGTGATATACTACAGCATCACTGTGCATCATGACAGAGTCCCGGCACCATCTATCCGTATTACTGATTCTCCTACTTCATCATCCCTACTTTGGCTTTCCAGGATCATGGCCATAAGCCCAAAAGTCCAAGGTCAGAAGTTTTAGGCTGGTCAAATGGTGGAAATCCAGTTACCGTACAAGGTTAGTTTGTCTGGTCGATCACTTTTTGCAGTTTGCAGTTTCCTCATCATGACCCAAAAAATGTACTCCTTTTTTCCCGCACTGGTAGTAAAAGCCGATAAGCCTCACTAGCGTGCCGTGCAAGGTGATGGAACGCATTTTGAAATTAGCTTTCCTAGCTCACCTTACTGCCAGCAACCTGATATCTCCAGCTCAACACGGATTTCTGCCAAACTGCTCTTGCATGACATTTATGCTTGCGTTTACGGACAGCTTAACCCAAGCCAAGGACGAAGGACTCATATCGGATGCCATATTTTTCGACTTCTCAAAAGCATTTGATAGGGTCCCACACGTCCCGCTGCTCCACAAACTCGAGGGGTACGGGATTTATGGGGACATCCTTCACTGGATCAAGGCATTCCTATCAGACAGATCATTCCCAGTGATAATAGGCTCGACCAACTCTTCTTACGCGCCGGTCTCCATTGGAGTTCCTCAAGGCTCCGCCCTTGGACCCTGCTGGTTTTGATCTACGTCAGCGACCTTCCAGTTGTTCTTGCAAGTCCATGTCTACATTTTGCGGACGACTTGAAATCCTGAAGTTCCAATGCTAGCGCCTTCCAAATGGATGTATACGCTGCAAAACAGTGGCCGTTGGACTAGCAACTTCCTCTGAATGACGAAAAGTGCGTCCATACGTCGTTTGAAGGAGATTCAGCGAATGTCTTTGTTATGCGTGGTAAGGAAGGACCAGGACAGACGCCGAAAAGGATTCGGGCATCTGAGTATCCTCAAGCTTGTGCTTATCGCTGCATCATGAGAAATCGGCTCAAAAGGCATTCGCCATTTTACGGATGATCCGACGCACCTCCTCCCGTATCACTCGCATGGACTTCCGAATACCCTATGGGGCCCACTTCAGACTGTTCCTGGAGTACGCCAACTAAGTTGTCTACCCAGAACGCACGGAAGACGTCACCCTTATTGAGCGTGTCCGGCGAGCCGCTACCGGAATGGTTGCCGGCTTCAAATCCGTGGACTTTGATGTCCATCTCGCGATGCTTGATCTCTTTCCTCTGGAGTATCTGCGTCTCCGATGGGACCTAATTCTTACTTATGTCCTGTTTGAACAAGGCTTGGCAAACATGTTTTTCACCGTTGACCAAGCAAACACACGGCGGGACATAGTAAGATTTTGAAGGTCAGAGCGCACACACTCATTAGGTAAACGTTTCTCTCATTTCGGGTAGTGGGTGCGTGGAATTACCTTCCTTCGACGATTGTCCACGCTCCTTCTGGAACCCAGTAAAGCCTCGATCCTGTGTATCATTCCGTGAATCGTTGTTCTGCTTTTGCAAGCCACCTTCAAGTCTTAATGATTCCATCTAGCCTTAGCTTGATATGCGGTCCCTAAAAGTAAGATAAACTCCGGGTAACATTCTATCCTTTTCCATGACTGTTTGGGCGTGATCAAGTCTACAACGCATATTGCCCACTATTTATGATATTGTCCGTTTATCACGCAATCTCCCCAAGTCCCTCCAGTCATGCTCTATTTCGTAGCTGGAATTTTGGGAGACTCCATGGTATAAACGTCCGTGACCCCGTCGCTAAGTTGCGCTGTGTTCAGTTTGCTGTAAACAACTTATGTCTCACGACAAGAGCTTCACCTGCCAAATTTCTTATCCCAGGTATTGGACATGCCTCCGCTCGATCGACTTATCTGCCCCAAATAGTGTGTCATGGGTGAACTGATTCCAGTCTGAAGCTTCGGTTACCGGAAAGTTGGATAAAGTCGGATAAACAGCCAAGCAATGACGGCAGTGTTATAATCTATCAGTTTGAAAACCGAGTGGCTATGGATTGAAGGTGAAAGCTTTGATGCACAAAAGCCACTGACTGCACGACTGGGGCATTTCTGCCAGTATCGTTGGCCATCGGTGGGTCGACTCCTGGATTTCACATTCAACGAGACGGCAGCTGTCTACCTGACTGAGTTGTTATCTCACAGACTGTCCACATCTACTCGGCACACGGCTAGGTGAAATACTTTCCACAAGGTTCACAGTCATCCGGCATGCAAAGTACATGTTCCAGCGGGCGATAGTCAAACGCCGACGGTATTCGTACGCCAGCTGCGGATGAAAGCAACTTTTCTAACCCGATCGGAATGCCGCAGTGTGTGCGTTGTCATTGATGGACGATCTGGCGCCGCGTAGGAACCATTGGTGGTAGTGATTTGTGTCCCGGCCCTTCCTAGTTGGGGAGCACTTTTGTCCCAAGATTGTTCACAAGAACTCATGCAACTAATTAGGTAAAAAATATATCCACCACGGTAATAGGCCCGTCTGGAAGTTTGAGGTTTTGGTTTGGTTCTATCAAGTCTCGTAGCAGCAATTTATACTTCGTAGACTTGAAGAGCATGACAAACCATACGGTAAACTTATTGTAGTTGTTTAAAATGGTTTGCTTTTTTGAAAGAAATGCATCAAAGTAAACAATGCTCTCCGGATACTTGCTGCATGTGAGCGAAAGTCCTCGGAGAACGTTAACCGTTAGGATTTTTGATGTTAGTGGAAGAATTTTAGGCAGAATTTCGGTAGCAAGGTTTAAAAAGAAGGACGAGAGAGGGTAAATTTGCCCCGTAAAGTTGAACGTGGTGGATTCAATAGAAATTTCACCGCATACACGTATCTGGCTAAAGAAATTCTCCGATGGTGTCCTCATGAGGGATGCAAATTTGTAGGCGACAAAACTGATCGCCGTAACAAAAATCCTTGAGATCAACCGATTCAAAAGCGGCTTTTAGTTTCGGAAAACAAACGGAAGTGATAAGTATTTATTTTTCTGGAATAGTTTGCATATGGGCTCTCTTCATTCATCTTAGAATATGATGTGCTGCAGTGTGTCCCCACCCACTTGAATGGTCTCCACCGTGTGATTGTCACACAACCTGACAGATGCTCAATATCACAATAAAAATTACGAAGAAATAAAAAATGAGTATAAAAATGCCCAACTGAGGACAACAGGATCATTTTTCATGAGGCAACTCAGCATGGCGATGGAACGAAGGGTTACCTCCACTGCTGAAAACAAGACAGCTTATCGTGAAACCAAAGTCTCAAGGCTGATAAGGAACCAGAAGTACAAAAATCCACAGAACGAAGCCTGAGTAGGAATCGATCCAAAAATAAACCGACGCAACCTGAACAAAACGGCCTCATCAAAGGTTTTTATATCAAATTAAGAGAAGTGTATTCGACCGACCTAGAAACGGCGATGAAATCTATCGGACTCAATACAAGCGCTCAGTAGCAAATTCATCAGACTGTCATTTCAGTTATCACACGCAACAAGCTACTTATTGTGTTTTCCGGCAAAGTAAACTGAGCAATGAACCCGCTGAAGTAAAACGAAAACAGCGGCTCTTTTGTAGGACAAGAAACTCTTATCAGTGATCGTGGACAATCCGGACTACATTATTAAAGCGGAAGCAGTACTGAGCGACAAAACCTTGTACCGCCACTTAGAACGCGGCGCTTAGAAGCAAGCAACTGGCATAAAAATAAGTAGCAATTTGAAGAAAAGACAAGATTACGAAAGAAGAATATTAGATAGTGAAAGCTCATAAATTTGTCACTCCCCACTTTAACGGATTCCCAAGGGTACACGAAAAAATAGTAATCCTCCAAAAGATATAAGCACTCCATGGGACAGCGAACGAGGTATGGAAAGGGTTGACACATCTAACCTCATTCATTACACCATGAGAAAACAAGAAGAACATGAGCAGTCAGTAAAGGTTCAGAATTAGTCTAAATTTAGAGCATTTCACTATGTATAATTGAAGGTGAAGGCAGTCTGAAATCGTCTAATAATCAAAGCCTGCTTGTTTGTGGATAAATACTCGGATCATTACATGATGTGCCAGCAGTACTACATGCTACTGAAAACTCACTTCTTCGCATTTGATAAAGCAGACCTAGCTATTTTTCGAAAAAGGTTTGATGACAGTCGGTAGATTTATTTCTGGGCAAAGTTTCGCTCTTGAGACAAAAACTTCGTCAGGCCAAGTGACTAGGTTCCGAAGATGGTCGAGATTTAAGGCAGAAGCCGAACCAATCAGCTAAGGCGAGCTGAGTCTCTGTTGTGTGTCGGCCGAGAAATTTTAGTGTGTTTGAGTGGTTGAACAAGTGGTGGGTAGGTGGGGAAACCTACATATGTTTGGGTCCAGCCTAGGGTCTAATTCATCTGGTTCGGTTCATTTGAAGGTTCCTCTTAAACTTGGTTTGAACTTTCTGTCAGTCTGTGTGGGTGAGCTAGTGCTAAGAAAGTTGTGTGAAAGGAATGCTGCGACCTTTTTACGGTTGGGGTTTCCACCCCCACCCCTCGGCTTTTTCTAATGATCCCAAGTGGACTGACAAACACACCGTCACGTGTCAACTAGGCTTATCTAAGACCGCTTCCAATACGCTGGCTAGCTCCACACCCTCCATTATATTTACGCTATGATGCTTAGTAATTTCCACCGCCTCGGCTATCAGCCGCTGTGGTGGGAATCGCAGTCCCCGTCTCACAACTTCCACATTCTCTAGATCTATTCTATGTCCCGTGTCTAAGGCTTAGCTCTTTCTCTTAATCGGGTTCAGGGATAATTTGCCACACCTGTGCATTTTCATGACAGCATTTCGTAGACATCAATTGCCGCAAACTCAATGCGTGTAAATGAAACAAGCATTCTTCGTATAGATCGGCTTACCTCGACACCAAACTACCGGTCTGTTATTCCCATTACGAATTTTCGCGTCTCGGAGCCCCAAAAGTTTGTTTCAATATAATCCCACTAAAAACAGGTCCATTCAAAATCCACTCCAGTACACCAATGAGACACAGCCCACTATATTTTCACTGACTTACCTGAACGTGTTCAATATGTTATTGTTTACAAGGGGTCACCACGAAATGGGCTCAAGCTAACTCGCCAGAGTATATTACCTCTGGTCAAGTCTCACACCAGTGATTTCCCATGTGCCAGGCTTCTCACGTGTAGTCTGTTGCTAATTGTGAGCCCGTTCTTACACAGTACAATTCGTAACTGCCTTAAATGCTTGAGGCGCGTCCTTTCATAGGGCTCAGGCGGTCTGTGCATGGTTGTATGCATCATGTTTGCTTTTGCCAAGTAGCCATTACCACAGAAAACCAGTGGACAACTGCTCACCTATTTGCGAGCTACACGCACTCCTGATTTCATGATCCTCCATTATTACCTATACGTAATTTTCACTCAAACCCTGATGGGATTCTTAATTGACCTCAAAACGTGCATTCTGTGAAACTTCCGCCTCGGTCGAATCTATTCTCCAATTTTTGTGGATTTTCATCCTTGAATTCCCTGGCTGTGACTTCAGGATCAAACTCACGTGCCAATCACCGGTTTCCCCGTTTCCGGTTCGCTCACTTGTGTGGTAAGTTTAATCCACCGGTCTACGATTTGATGGTCCTGGACTATTGAATGCAAGTTATCATTATCCAGCGGTAATCGGCCGAAAACGACTCAACCAATGTCACATGAATATACAATAACTCAGTGTGTACAACGAAACCAGGATTTTTTCAGCCTGGTTTCTAAACTCAGCTGATTATTAGGTTGACATTGAACTAACAGAAATTGTACACACAGGCAAAACTGTGACCTTGAGCGTGAGATGGACTTGTGATAGGTCCTTCGGACTACTATATGTGGGCGGGTCGCAAGCTTATAAGCCTCCGTGGATTTCACCCGTTGGTTAACCAATCAAATCTGCCCAATACGTTTGCGTGCGCAATCAAGTTTCTGCATTTATTTACACTGGGAAACAGCATAATTTTATCTGAGATAGGAAACATGCCCACTCGAGAACAACCTGTAGTTTGTGGGTATAAAGCTAACGCGCACGTTTCACGCATTATCACGCTTGAAACACGCTTCAAGACATCACAAACGAGAAATTCATTTGGGTTCCGGGTGAGCCTCTCGCAAAACGAAACTGGCTGGCAATTGAGTGTATATTGCTAATTTGGGTTAAAGTAGGACATAAAGCTCACGGAAACTCGAAGACTGCGCCAACGTGATGAGCCGCAATAGGGGCGAAATTGGTCGTGAGCTGTCAAAGCGCTTTCAGCAACCTCATGGGTAGTGTATTTCGATTGTCAACCCTATTTTTTGAACCTAATCGTGACGACGTTAATAGCAGGGACATGGTCAGAACTGTGCAATAGCACATTGGCTTTATACATTCTGTTTTCTGGTTTGTGTTGGGATGACGAAGAGTGCAGAACAGAGTGACTTATGTCCATTTGGTCAGTGAAAACCAAAGCGCTGGTGCTTTAAAGTTTCACGTTCCAATTATTTCATCTTAGGTGAGAGATTATCGCCCTTCGAGCGCATTTTCAACTCCTGTCTTACCGCTTTGTGCTTTCGCACAAATCCTAACCACCGGATAGCCTCAGGCACACATGGACAAAACCCTAATATTGGTGGTTTTATCTCATTCACCCTCGCCCACGCTGGCGCGATTCTATCATAAGGAATATGTAAAGATGAATCAATAGTTCGGACATTTTGTTCAAACATTTACTTCCAGGCCAATCACTAAATCGTTCTTTGGGTTGGCCATCTAACGTTGCAATAATTTAAACTAGCGTGACGTTCTTTGAGCAGCAATGCACAGTACTTCTTAACGTTAACCCTGATCGCATTTGATCATATTCGGACTCGCTGATACGCCTATTGGCCGTTGGTCTGTTCGCCGAGTTACCAGTCAAGATGACACCAATGCATCAGTGAGTGATATCGTCAGTCAACTCCGCATTCACGATGTTACATCAACTGGTCATGGGATGTTAGCCATCCAGCTATCAAGCTTGGTGAACAGACCAACAACCACGTAGAGCATCCTGTGTGCCGCAACACCTCTAAGACCTCTATATCCAGCTCACCGTTTAGCCTGCAGAGACTGCGATGCGGTCCGAAGTACGATTTGCTCGAAGACGACCGCAGAGTGGCCCTCGTCCTGATGGAAAAATAAGCTGTGATTTGCATAAAATAACACTAGGTACTAATTACTGGAAGAAGCTGCGGTAGACCGAAAATTTCATTCGATCTGAAGTTGCATTCCCGGAATTAGAAGCATTTTTCGGACGTTGGCGAACCAAATTTTGATACAGAATGCAAGGAGAGCAAGCTCTTAAGGAAAGGAAGAACATTGAGTCTTTAGGAGAAACCCAACCTCGTGGTGTTTATTGTGAGCACACAGCGTAGTGTATGTAGTTAACTGGGCGTTGTGAAAGACAGCGAAAGATGCACTGAGGTGGCAGGATTTCATCGATTACCAAACCACATTTTGTGCAAGAAAGCCCTCTGATGTCCTATTACCCACATCTCATTTCGAGAAGTTGGTCAACGAAGCCACATGAATATGATGGAATTTGATGGCTGGTCTTTCGACACCTTGCGTAAATGGCTTCTGACGAGAGAGCCACCGGTATTCACGAGATTGCCAAATGGGTTTCCTGACCCGTCAACCGCATCAAGCTCATGTCAACTCGAATTTAGATAATCGCGTCTCCACAAAACCACTTCCGAGCGATGTGGGTCATTTGAGCTCCATCGCCCTGCGAAACCTCTGTGGTAAGGAAGTCCAGGGCTGGTGATTGCTCTATTGCAAGTGGTTGAATAAGTGTGTGACAAACAGGCCCACGTGACATGTACCTTCGACTGAGCCGCAGCATACAAAGGTTCCATGGTATACTTTGGCAGGAAGATTCTAGGAATGGTACGCCCTCACATTACCAGTCCATCCTTGTATACACTCGGTCTCATTACCTCGATACAGATGGGCGAATTCGCTGGCAAACACCGTGAACCAGATATACAGTTGGGTTTCAGGTGAGTTTCCCGCCAAAAACAAACTGGCATGCAGAAGAGTTTAAAAGTTGAGTTTTTTTCTCGTACGTAAGGAATTGTCAACCGGACTAGACGTCAAGCCAGGAGGTGAAACGTCAGTTAAAAATAGAATATGCAGTGCATTCAAGACTTAAAAAGGATAAACGTTTACTGACGGATTGAGTTTCTGTTTTCAAATCGATGACTTGATTTTTGACCGGCCGTTTGAGATTCTCTATGAGAAATTTGACCATCTTTGTTTCTCTGTCCCAGAGTTCGTTGTGCATTGCTTTTTTTGTTTTATTTGCCTTTCCTCGACAAACAGTGCGGATAATGATATGCGGCATTGTGTCACTTAATTAAGTTGAGAGATTCCGCTCGGCGTTTTTGTTTGGCTAATTAAGAACGCAAGATTATGCCGGCAATATTCGGTGCCTTGTTAGACGTTTACGGTGGCAGTTGCTATCATTAACTAATTGGCTACGTTCGCCGCATTTTGTAAACTTGAAACGTCCAAGACCGAAGATGCTACGGAAAGTTTCGGCTTGAAAACCTGTTGGGCGAATTAGGACAAAATCTTGCTCAATTCTGAGTAAACTCTAGTAATTTGGACAAAGCGCCGGATTCCGGATTTGTTCTACACTTCACTGCGTCGGAAGCCAACTTACATCTAAAAATTCCGCTTTCACATGACACTCGTATGGAAAGTTTTGCTCTAATCATGGATCTGGCGAGTCGACGCTAAAGGAGGCAAGCACGAGACTCGTTCTGATTACAGCTTATAGGCAATACAAATCCTTGGGGATGTTCAAACTCTGTACGCAAGGTGAACATGTTCCAACTAATCCGCCGGCGTACGCCGGTGCAACTGACTCGTGACGCCCACACGGTTGTTCATGCTTGAGTGCTCGGGCGGGAACAGAATCCTCTTTTCGGCCGTTCACATTCAGCTACGTTTAGCTTCTACTGGTGGAGTAGTGATAACATGAAATTTCGTCGATCAAGGACCACATTTCATTTAAAATGCTGTTGTAAACTAAGTAAGCAACCCATCAAGGTCCAAGATGGTTTCCATGCCCATAAGCAGTTGTAATCGGGATATCGGTTGTCCCCCGAAATAAATCGTGACAGGAACACTTTTGTTTGCTGCTACAAAGGACGGGCGTGCTGTCCCACGTGCAGTTGTACTAGAGCATAGCTTGATGGCACCTGAAGGCTGGAATTCAAAAGAATGTCCTCTGGGCCTCGGAACTTCTTCCACTGTTGTTTGTTGCTACAAAGGACGGGCATGCTGTCCGAATTGCAGTTGTACTAGAGCATAGCTTGGTGGCACCTGAAGGCTGGAATTCAAAAGAAATTCCTCTGGGCCTTGGAACTTCTTTATTTTCGTAAAACATCAGCCGAGGGTCAATTTGACCTATTGTTCAGAGTGAACAACAATATTAGAAATGATAAAGTAGATCAAAACATTTGTCTGACCAAGCGTGCTACAGCGGGTTTGGCGTGTGTGGTGTTTTTTGTACCTTTATTTTGCTTTCATTATAACACTACGTTTTCATCAAT